GGCAGCAGGGGGCGACGCCGACGAGTTGCTTCGGTGGCTGCGTCGCCGGGCGCCCACGGGGTAGATGTGCTGAACTGTACTGGGAGTTCTGATCCAGTGCCATGGCGAAATGCATCGTTTTGTCGATGACGACGTCGTTCCTCTTCGCCCCAGGAGCGTCGGCGCTGACGCAGCGCGACGGCGAGCGCACCTCGAACGGCCGCGCGCGCTGCCGAAAGGGAGGTGGAAGAGGTGGGTGCTTCCGAATGTCGGTGACGGAGTTGCCGAGATCACGCGGTTGAACTTGCCCGTCGTGGTGACGCAGTTGAGATGGCCACGGCGCCCTGGCCGCGCGCCTGGCCCATCTCTACTTGGAGCAGAGCGGGGGTCGAGGTATCCTGTCGACGGCGTTGGGGCCAGCGTCTGTCCAGTGGGGGCAGACCTGAGCATGGCCATATCCAGTGGGGTCGTCTGGGCCGCAGAACGTGCGTAGGTCGTCGCGCATCCGCGAGGGGCGCGATAGTCGCGCGGCGGTCGGTTGCCGACGCGTCGGCATCCACGGCGAGGCGACGCAACAAGATGCGTGACTGTGCATGCAGTGGGCCTCATGACTCTGGCTCAGGCCGCCTTGCGGGGCGATTTTAGCACCCCGAAACTTTCCCGGCGAGGTGACTGCGGGATGAGCGTGTAGAAGTCTGCCTGGAGGTCGGGCAGCCCCTTGGCGCGCGCAGGGGCCGCCTGAGCTGTGTGTAGGTCAAGGCCCCGACGGTCGTGATGCGCAAGAACAAGAGGATGCAACTGGTGGTTCGCTTGTCCCTAGTGCAGGTGCCCAGGCAGAAGTCGTTGGCGACGTATCCTCGAATGTTGTGTTCTGCGCGCGCACACGCGCGCCCGCGGGCGCACGCCTGGTCGCCCCGGCGTTCAGGGCCGCGCTGCGCGGTGGCACTGAGTTCAGGCGGAGTGGTGGTTGCGTGGGGAATCGTGGCCCGCGCTGGGGCTTTCAGGCGCGCGACTCGCGCCAGGGCCGCGTGGCGCGCGCGCGGCGTTGCGGGGTGAGCCATGCCGCACGCTGGAGACGCCTTAGCCTGATCTCACGAATTCTGTCGTCCTGCACGACAGCGGCCCGCGATCGTGATGGCCCGCGCGAGTTGTCCAGCGGTCCAGCGCGCGTTCGCAAGTTGCAGATCGGCGCGCCAGCCAGGCTGAGCTACGACCAGGAAGATGCATCCATCGGATACCGACCCGCATACAGCGTCGAAGCGCGATGAGGACGGCAGAACAATGTGCATCGATAGTACCGGCACACCAACCCAAATGCACAGCACTTTCGCGCCGTAGCGACCCGGATTGCCATCCTAGCGTGGTGCATGACCGCGGTAGCGTTGGCTGTCGCGCACTGCGAGAAAGCCAAGAATGGTGGGGCACACCTTCCAGGCGATGTCGTAGTTCTGCATCCGCGCACTGGCAGCTGCCACGCACTGGTTAAAGGGCGCGCGGCGCCTGGCGCGCAGGTGCCAACTCGCGCGCAGGCTCGCGCGCGTAGCTAGGTAGCACGCGTACACGGTGGAACGCGCCAGAGGGCGCGGGGGTCATGGATGCATGGTTGCCAGGATGATGGCGCGAGCCGGCGGCGCATGGGCGGCCGCCGCCAACTCGGCGAGGTTCAGGCTCGCGGAAGTCCGCTGCTGCCGTCCGTCGGCGTTGAACGGAAAGGTTGTGGGCGCGCGCGTGGGTGGACAGCGACGAGCGTGCTTGCGTGCTTCTGCGCGCCTGCCTGCCCAGGCTGAGCATTGCCGCGCGCGCGGGGTGGACTGGCCTGCTTAGGAGACTTCGCGTCGATACTTGTCAGCGCTCACGTCACGTTCGCCGCGCGGGTGCCTGCTGGTGCATCTGTGACAGTCACCTCGCATTCCCGGCTGTTTGGATGATGATCCGCGGGGGGGGGGGGGGGGGGGGGGGGGGGGGGGCGCTGCCTCGGACTCATCTGGAGTTGAGGCTGAAGAACGCCCTGGCGGCGAAGATTGCGCTGGCGTCGATGTGTTGCGCCCTGCGTGGTGGTGTCGCGTTGGTGCCGACGACCGCGATGGCAGCGCCGCGTGGCTCTCTTCATCGGCAGCGTCCGCGGTGCCTGGGTTGCGCATCGCCAGCGGCTGTGCCAAAGAATCCGACGTCTTCATCTCATTTGGTGAACCGTTCCGGCTATTGTTGGTGGCGCTGGTAGCGAGGGCGCCACGGCAGCTGGGGGGCCTGGGGCGGCGGCCACAGCGGCGGCGACGATCGTGTAGCGCGCGGTTTTCAGGGCGGTGGGGCGAGCAACTAAGTCGAGGTAGTCAGAGCCGATGTCGTCGCCGTAATAACGCTCGTCGTGGTCGACGGCGCGGCCGTCGATGTATTTGCGCCACTTGTGATCGGCGGTGTAGTTGTCGTTGTTGTCGCAGCACCTGTCGCCGAATTGCACGGGGCGTTCACAGGCGCGAAACTGCGTCTGGTGCAGAGATGCCGGCTGGATGTGGCCGCGCATAAGTCGCGCGCCGGCACGTTGCTGGTCTGGCCTGGGCGCCAGCGCGCCTCTGGCGGCCGCGCTCCTGGCGCAGGCGCCCGCGCGTCTCGTCGCTGCGCCGTCGAGCGCAAGCGCGCTGCGCTGCGCTGCGGGGTGAGGCGCGGCGTCGCGCGGGTGCGTCTTGTCGTTTGACGTAGCGGCGCGCCGCTTGGCGCGGCTGCGCGGCGGCGTCGCGGCGCGCCAGAGGGCGCGCCGCAGACTCGCTGCCCTGCAGCTGCGCGGCCGCGCAACGGATCAGCGGCGTCGCGGCGCGCAAGACAGCGCGCCGCAAACGCGCTGCACGAGCCGCGCGCCGCATCCAGGCCATGCTGCTCGGACGGACGCGCCGGCTTGGCCCGGCACATTGCCCGCGGTTGCGCCGGACTGCGCGGCCCCCTGGTCGCCGCGCGTCGCGGCCGACCGCTGCGCCAGCCGCGCCGCTCGCGCGCGGGCCGCGAAGGTGGTGGCCGGGAGGCGCGCGGGCTTCTATTCGAATGCTGGTGGAACGTCGCGCCAGCGGTCGTTGCCCTGAGCCGCTCGGTGGTCAGCGTCGCGCAGAGAGGGGTTAACCTGTCACGCCCTATGTTTTCTGTCGCAGATGCCGGCGATGCGCGCGCGGTCGCAAGAGTCGCGCGCTTCGCGGCGATGACCCGCGCGCGCGCTCTAACGCCAGTCAGGGCGCCTGAGGGCAGTGGCACCATTGGAAGCAATCGCTGCCAAGAGTGGTCGGGCGGCGCCGCTGCAGGAAAAATCCCGGTTGAGCCTTTGGCAGACGAGGAGAAGAGCGAGTCGAAGGTGTCGACGCGGTGGCACCTCTACACATGATGACGAAATCCTGGACACCGTCCAAATGAGTTCGGGGGCGTTTGTCGGGAGCAACATTCTGGCTTTCGTGCTGCGAAACTTCTCGGGATCAGAACCCGCGGTTTGGCCGCCGCAGGCGCGCTACTTGTTGCCTGACGGCCTGCGCCAGACATTCGACCATGTGCGTGCGATGGCTCCGGCTTTGCTGGCGACGGCAACGCGCGTGACGGGCGAGCACATGGCGGTGTCGCATGCGTGTGACTGGTACCATAATCATTTGCTTGTGGCACCTATGTCATCAGTGTTCTGGCACGCGCCAAAAAAGCCGGAGAAGATGCGCATGAGCGATCACCTTTTCCAATCGGTTCACAAGAATAAGAAGGGCACCGGTGGCCGCGCGCTTTTTGCGCCTCTCCAAGTTGCCATACACACAATAGTCCAATAAGTAAGATCAAGCAGTAGCCGGTGGAAATATCCTCCACGTAGTGGGGGCAAGTAGTCATTCGTCGCATCTCCCCAACCCTCCAAGAAGAGAGCGAGGGATCACGCTCTTCCAATAAATGGGGGGCGAGTCGGGGTCTAAGGAATAATAACGTCTTCCGCCTTGCTCGCCCTTGGTGGACTTGCAGCGAGCGGTCAGGGTCGTGAATCCATGTGTTCACACTACCTTAGACGCGCGATGCCGCGGTTGTACTAACCAGCGCTGCGCGCCAGCGCAGTCCTGCCCAGCGGTCGTCAACGCTTGGCCTGGTCACCCGACGTCGGCTCCTCAGACCCGTGCGACATCGCCGCTCTTAGGCCAGCGCTCTCGAGTTTAAATCGGGCGCTGGGTCTCGTTGACCACGCGCGCGACGGCGCGCGCGCGCGGGCGCCGAGCGAACGCGATCGCACATTCGCGCGCCAACTGCGGCCGCAACCCCTCGCCCAGGGCGCGGGCTGGGCCGTGGAAGACGGGCCGGCGCGCCGAGCGTTCATGCAGCGCGGCGCCGATGGGTGCGCAGTCGCGCCGGTGGCCCGGGGCGAGCGCGCACGCCGTGGAAATGTTTTGGCTGGTATGTGGCTCCACCTTGATCGCCCAATTCGGCTTGGAAGTACTCGTGAAGGACACGCCCGGTAGCGCGGCAAGTTGCAGCGCCAGTCGTCAGGCGGCCAGGCCCAAATCAGGGGGCCATTCTCTGGTAACCCGAGTGATGTTCCGGCGAATCTGGTGGCAGAAGATCGACGAACCATCTGCATTGCGATGCGCCGTCGATGTGCTCGTCGCGATGGCACGCGTCGCGTGGTGCCAGAGGTATTTATAAGCATCTTCGGAACAAAAACCCTTTCCAGACTTGGCTACATCTGCTGGGGCCGTGCCGCGCGATGGCGCAAGGCCGCGCGGGTGCACATGGGCGGCGCGCGCCGCGAGGCCTGCGCCGCCGCGCCCCGGCAATGCGCAGGCGTACCCCCCGCCAGCAAGTCCTGAATGATAGGACAGTTGCCACTGGAAGGGGCAACAGAGCACACTTTTCAATCCCGAACTACCGCGGCAAAGGGCACGCAGACTGCCGCGTGGCAGCGTGCCTAGACCGAATGGCACAGCAACAAGCGTGAACGTAATTTTGCGGCCGGAGAATCAACGAACGTGTCAGCGCGCCTGAAGCTGCAGACTGTGCATCGTGCGCCCGAGCGCCAGGGCGTACAGCGTGCGCCCGAGCGCGGGACAACAGGTCTTGCTGTTAAGTGGGAGGCGCAGAACTGCCCCGACCGCCTGTCAATCGCAGTCAACACTGCTGCCCTGTTGCGTGAGTGAGCGGGCGGCGCGCGCGTGGTGAAGCCGACAAGTGGCTGTGCCAGGGCCGCGCGCTGGGTAGCACACGGGCTGGTCCATGTCCTGCTCCTTGGGGAGAAGGTGTGCAGCACGCGGCACAACAGCGCTAGGTGCCCGCGGCGCACATGGCGACTAATCCTGGAAGAGGGTCGTTGTAGATGGTTGCGGGAGTTCCGTCGAAATCCGTTTTGAGGATGGTCGGAGTTGCCGAACAGGCTGAAGGGCGGATGGGGCGAATAACCCAAGTGAGCATCGGCCGCGGCTTAGCCGACAACTGGCTGCATCTGGACGTCGTGTCAGCGGCGCTCGCCAGCCGGCTGCGGTCCACCGCCGGGACAAGAACATGCATCGGCGACATCGGGCTGGTGATAATTAGCCTGTTGCTCCCGAGCGCCAAGATGGAGATCCTCCCCGATGGAATTCCACCGCGATGAAAGCTGCGGAATCGCCTAGGGACTCGGCCCTGCGCAAGATCGAACGCCATGTCGAAGCAAGTGGCAGCCGTAGTAATACTGACAACCATAATCAAAACATGTGTTCCACTCGAGTAGTGCGACGTTCTCGCAAAGAAGACCACCGTCACAAACGCACACATCACGAGGCACGGCGCTGGCCGAAGGAAGAGCTTCGCCGTCATGCCCGACGCGACGCTACGGCCAATACCTGTGAGGTGCGACGGGTGGCGGAAGGCGCCGCGGCGTTCCCCTAGTCGCGTGCTCACCATCGCGTAGAAGCCTGCACATGCTTTTGCCCTCGCACCTAAACTTTCTCTCGCACGTCTCACAAGGTCCGTTGGCCTCATCGTGGACTGTGATCGCCCAATGCGAATTACCCGAAACCTTCCGGAACTGCCACAAACACAAGCTGTTCAGGGGACGAAAGTTGTTGGCGTTGAAAATCTGGGGGGCAGAGCGAACGCGCGTCGGCATATCAATATTCGCAGTCCGTGGATCGCCAGCTGGGATCGTTCCCGGCTCCGCTACAATTTCGGATTGCGGGTGGTATCGGTGAAAAGGTAGATGGCATGGCGGCAATGGCAACGTGAGGGAAAGATCGCAACACGTATAGATTGTTCCCTTCAATGCATAATACCGCCTGCATGCTGCAATCCAGAACGGCAGCGTGCGCCCACGCGTGCTCTTAGTCAAGTATGAGGGAGGGGGGCTGAGAGGAGGCGCAGGGGGAGGTGCGGGAGAAAGATGAGGGAGTAGGATGGGGAGGGGGGGAAGCTCGGCGAGGGGAGTGAGGTGGAGCAAGAAGAGGAGGAGGCGACAGGATGGGGGACGAGAGACATATGGACGAGGACCAGGAGGAGGAACAGCAATCCAGATCGCCAGGAGATGAGGAGAGGGGAACGAGAGGATGGAAAAGCATCAGCCACATGATGAGAGCGGTCACAGCAGCAACGTGCAACGCGAACAGTACGCATCTCTGGAAGGGCTGGCCCGACTGCCAGAACGCCTGGGCGGAGGAGAGAGTGGGAAGAAGGAGGGAAGGGGGTTGAGTCGCGAGGAGGGTGAGGACATCGAGAAAAAGGAGCTGGCCCGATTATGGCGCAGACGGGGCAACAATACCTCACCACAGACACTACCGCGATGCCTCCAGGCCAAGTCACGCCGCCCTAGGCTGCCCGTCCACCGTGTCTCCTTCTTCCACCCTCCTCTTCTCGCAGACCTCGCAGACCTGCGGCTCTCCTGATCATTCGTTGAAGAACCGACACGGGGACAAGGTTGTGGCCAGCGAAGCAGAGGTCGAGGCAGGAAGGAAGGACACGAGAAAAAGGGAAGAGAGAAAAAGGAAAAATACTGGCCTACCTTGTATTTAGTCCATGGGAGGAGTCCCTAAGGAGCTTTGACCGCTCCGATGACTTGTGAGGGGGCTCGCAAGAATTTAGCAGACGCGAGCGCGCCTTGAAAAGGGGCCAACCCTCCGCAGGCGACGCAGAACATGACCATAACCTCTTCCTCTCTGACACTTCTCAGACCCTCCTCCTCCTCCTCCTCCTCCTCCTCCTCCTCCTCCTCCTCGCACCCTCCTCTACCTCCCCGCGCTCCGCCCTCCACCCCAACCTCCACCCTTCACCTTCCGCCTTCCCCCTGCTCCCCTGCTTCAGCCACCTCTCCTCTCCCTCGCTCTTCCTTCCTCCAAGCCAGGTAAAAGGCAGACCGCATCAAGAACCACTTTTGGCCGTCCTCTCCATCCGTCTCCGCGAAGGTCCACGCGGTCACGGGGTACCTCCCCCCAACGGGATGAATTTTCACGACGTGGGCCCTCGAACTCTCAAATTCGTCCCTGGGACTGGTTATTCGCGCCGGGGCCCCCAGAACGGCGCCCAAAGCTAGAGTCGGCAAATCGTCAGCCGTCGTGTTTTTACGCAATGCCAGATAGGTCTGGGCACCCCAGCCCGCGCAATTGGCCACCTGTCCGAAGTGGGGGGAGTGGAAGCGAGGGGGTGCTCGGCAGCCGGTGGCCCGAGGTGCCAAAAGCTTATGCGGCGAAGCGGAGATCAAAGCGAGGCCACTAGATGAGACGGAGCAGGAAGACGAGGCGAGGGATGACGAGGAGCGGAGTGAAGAAGATGCGGCCGAGCATGAGGGAAAATGTGGATGAGGGGGTGGGATCAGGAGGGATAGAGACCAGGAGGAGGGGCCAATGGGGACATGATCAAAACGTGTGACACAACCATCGTCGTTCTGTGTGTGCGTGGGCTTGAGGAGGCCAGCGCGTGAGGGCAGGCACTTTGCTCGGAGCCTCCAAAGCCACCCTCCAGTGGACGCCAATACGCAGGACTCCAGGATAGCGGCGGGGGCGTACTCGTGCCCGTTAGTGGCGTCATAATCGCCAGCATGGCATCTGCATGTGGCATCGCCTCCTTTGTCGGTGAGGACTGCCCCGCTGGCATTGATGGAGGCGATGCAACTGGATGGGTTTTGTTAAACCCCATATCCTCGCTCACTTTGTTCATTGCATTTGGAGCTGTCGCGGGCACCCACTCCAGCTGCGGTGGAAAAGGCACTCGCGCTGAACTGCTGGCACCTGCGCATGCTGGTACTGTCTGCTGAGACTGATGCGATTGCTGAGGCACCGCTCCGAGCTGCTGCTGCTGCTGCTGTTGACTCTGGGCAAAAATGCTGGACAACGTACCAAATATCAAATCCGTTTGAGCTTGCTTCTGGACCATTTTGTAGAGCACATACTTCACCTCTGCCATCTCTGCCGACATCTGTGGTGTCTGCGGCTGCTGGACTCTCGGACTTGGACCGCATGTCCCTGGCGGTGGCGGCGGAGAGATATGACCCATACGCGCAGCGCCCGCTGGCGCCGAGGAGGAAGCAGGCCCACTTGGCCAACCCATTTCTCCTACGCCTGCTGGCGGGGCTACCTGGGCCCCATGAGACTGGACATCCCCTGCTGCTGTCGTCTCCTCGTCGTCGACCTGGAGCTCCTCGATGTCCGTTATGAATTCCTTGTAAGGCTCTATTTCTGAATACAAATCCGACGCTTGTTCTGTTAGATCTTTCGACCTGGCGTCGGTATTTCGAAGAGTCTCCTGTGCTCTGAACCTGTTTGTTTAGATCGACCAACTGCTGAGAATGTGACAATGTCATCTGGGGCATTCACTTCATTCCCGCAAGCTTGCGGTCCTGCTTTTGTACATCCTCGAACTCCTGCGCCCTCTCGCAAGCGTCGCGATATCTGCCATCCTGTGGTGCAACTCGAGTTTGAATGTGTGTTGAGTGTGCGACTCATCTGGCGGCAACAAGAAGCAATCGTGCGAACTGGCCTCATCTCTCGTGATGGGCTGGATCTTTGCTTTATGCATACGCACATACTTCTGGCTTCATGGCTTACCTTTAGGCACCTTCGGGGTGTCCTGCGGTTTGGCACCCCTGCTTGGCGCTCTGGTCTGGCTTGGAATCCTGTCCCGACTAGGAGTGTGGCCACGACTTGGCCTTTTCCCCATCGCCCTGAGCTGGCTGCTGTACTGACCACACAGACAACGGGTGTAGTGTTTGACTATCATCCGCACGGGCAATTCCATCGGGGAACCTGCATGTCCCTAGTCATGGTTGCCAAAGAAACTCCTGATTGGTCAAGAGACAAGAATGGTGCCCGAACAATGCCTTGGCCTGGCCTGGAGGTTACCTGTGGCCAAGAAGTGTGTAATGCCCTTCGCAACCTCAAGAACATGATTTACTTGTCTTCCTCTTCCTTTTCCTCCTCCTTATCCTCCTCCTCCACCTCCTTCTCCTGCTCCCCCTCACTCCTGGCGCTCCTGACGCTCCTGGCGCTCCTGACGCTTTAGACGCTCCTGAAGCTCTGGCGTTCCTGACGCTCCTGACTCTTTCGACGCCCCTGACGCCCCTGACGCCCCCGACGCGCCCGAAGCTCCCTGACGCTCCCTGACGCTCCCTGACGCCCCTGACGCCCCTGACGCTCCTGACGGACGCTCATGACGCCCCCGACGCTCCTGACATCTCTGACGCCCCTGACGCTCCTGACGCCCCTGACACCAATGACGCTCATGACGCTTTAATTGTGCGGATGTCTCGAGCGGCGGCGCCGGAGTTCTGAGGATGTCCCTTGCGGCGGCGCTCGAGTTGTGAGGATGTTCGATCGGCAGCGTCCGACTCGTGAGGATGTCTCGAGCGGCGGCGCCCAAGTTGTGAGGATGCCCCGAGCGGCGGCGCCCGAGTTGTGGACGCCCCTGACGCTCCTGACGCTCCTGGTGCTCCCTGGCGCCCCTGACGCCCCTGACGCTCCTGACGCTCCTAACGCTCTGGACACTCCTGACGCTCCTGACGCTCCTGACGCTTTAGACGCCCTGGAGCGTCAGAAGCGTCAGGAGCGTCAAGGGCGTCAAAAGCGTCAGAGCGCCAGCGCTTTACGCCTCTGACGCCCCCGACGCTCCCTGATGCCCATGACGCTCCTGACGCTCCTGACGCTCCTGACGCTCCTGACGCTTCTGGCGCTCCTGACGCTCCTGGCGCTCCTGGCGCTCCTGACGCTCATGACACTTTAATTGTGAGGATGTCCCGAGCGGCGGCGCCAGAGTTCTGAGGATGTCTCAAGCGGCGGCGCCCGCGTTGTGAGGATGTCTCGAGCGGAAGCGCCCGATTTGTGAGGATGTCTCGAGCGGCGGCGCCGGAGCTGTGGACGCCCCTAGTGTTCGTGGCGCTCCCGACGCTCCTGGCGCTCCTGACGCTTTTTACGCTTCTGAAACTGTGGCGCTCCTGACGCTCCTGGCGCCCATGACGCCCCTGACGTCACCGATGCTCTCTGGCGCCCCTGGCGCCCACGCCCCTGGCGTTCCTGACACTGCTGACGCTCCTGACGCTCCTGAAGACCCTGACGCTCCTGACGCTTTAGATGCCCTGGAGCGTCAGGAGCGTCAGGAGCGTCAAAGGCGTCAGAACGTCAGCATTTTTGTTCGGGGGCGCGCTGCGACAGCTCTCCAAGTTTGACCTTCCTCTTCCTCCTCTTTGGCCTTCCTGATCTCCTGCTCCTCAACCATCTTCTCCCCTCTCCCTCTCTCGACGAGGCCGTGGAGAAGAGCGATGATAATGAACGAGGAGGAGAACGAGGACGAGGTAGGGGGATCGGTGAAGAACAGGGGGAAGACGATAGTGGAGGTCGAGGGCGGCACATGACGACGATGGGCAGTTAAGGCAAAGGGGGATGACGACGGCGAGGGCGAGGAAGCAGAGGACAATGATGATTCAACAAGCAATCTACTGAGCTTGAAGACAGAGGGACAAGGAGGACGACGAGGACGAGCATGACGAGTAGTGGTCGTCATCGTTCTCCTCCTCCTCCTCCTTGGACGCAGCACCAACCCTCAACGGGCGCTCGGGGTTCATCGCCCGCTTGGCCGCCCAGATCGCCGGTGCCATGGGCCTGTCGTTGAACAGGTCGGCGAATGGGGCCAGCACCCGGCCGAGGTGGTCCTCGCCGAAGGAGCGGGTCACAACGGCGTTGACGGCCCACGTGCACCTGTCCAGCGGCGCGCCGGTAAAGGCGGCCACCTGCTCGGCGGACTGGAGCAGGTGGGCCCTGTCACGAGGAGACCAACTACAACTACACCGATCCTGGCCGGGCCAGATCTGGGATCAGGATCGGCGCGCACGCCCACCTGGCCTGGCGAGGAAGAGGGCATGCGCATACACAGATCGGGCCGATCAACGTTGAGAAAAATGTCGACGCGTAAACCTTCTGAGCCACACGCAATCACAAATCAGTGCAAGTGTGCGTCCTGATTCCTTCAACACGCGCGCCCCAAAACTTGCTTTTCATCCTGAACCGTGGTTTACTGTCCCTGAGCCCAAGGACGGACCCTGCAGGCCGAAAATGCTGAAACCCATCCTTTTTGCTGGTCAATGCGTTGAACACTTGAGTAATTCATCGACGGGCGCCCTCCGACCTGTAGGCTTTGAGCTGCCCCACCACGCTGGGGAACTCTAGCGCCTCTATGTCGGCCTCGTTCCAAGTGAGGGCTGCGCCGGCCGGTGCCGACGGGAACGCCGCGCCCGTGTATTTGCTCCAAATCTCGTCGACGGGTTCCTTCCCAGGGCTGCCGTCGAAGCGGGGGCCCTCGCCGAGTACCTCCGGCGGTGCGCAGCAGGGGATGGCGCGAAAGGCCAGTTTCCCGAGAACCCGCGCGGGGGGGGGTCCCAGAAACTCTCCGCCGAAGCCCGGCCCGACGAAACAGCCCTCCTCGCGCCACCCATTTCCTGCGCGCCACCGGGCACCTGCAGCAACGCGGCGGCGAGTTCCGCCTCGGAGTCGGGCCCCATCGGCGCGCACAGAATATCTTTTAAAGGCACTGCGAGCAGCGCCTCGCCCTCCTCGATGTCCCGCGTCGCCACCCAGCCGAGGCCCCGGTCAGGGAATCGTCGCAGCTGGAGCGCGGAGCTCCCCAGCGGCGGGTGCACCCCGAACTCGCTCCACAGGCTGCCGCCGCGGAGCGCGGGTGGCAGGTCAACCTCGTCCTGGCTTGGTGAATCCTCTGCTGGCTCGGCGACCACCGTCGCCCCCGCCGCGCACCGCGCGCACGCGCCGCGGCCCGCGGCAGCGACGTCGTGGAGGCGGCGCTGGCGCCGATGGCGCCGTCGCGCCTCGACGACGGCGAAGAAACCACCGGTGACCACTGCCGCGGCGCAAGGGCGGAAGCCCGAGGCAGCGGCGCCCGCGCCCGCGGGCAACCCTCGAGCCTCCGCGGCGCCGCGGGCGGCGGCTGGCGCCGAGGGGGGCGCCAACGGGGCTGGCGGCTGTGCGATGGCTGGCGCCACGAACATCGGAGGCCAGGGCGGGGGGCCGAACCGCTGTGGGGGGCGGAAGAGGTTGGAGGGATTGGGCGACTGGGGTGATAGAGCGGGGAAGGAGGAGAAACGAGAGGAGGACGAGGGAGGGAAGGAAAACGATGAACTCGACGTCCCCTCGTAAATGAGGGAACAAAAACACTGGGAAGATTCTGTCACGACCCGACGCTAGACGAAGGACGGGCCGATCAGTGGCCAGCAATCCTACATCGACTAAGCAGACACAAGACAGGGGGCAAACAATGCCAAACATCATATACATTCCCGATACCGACTCTCCAGGTGCATACATGAGAGAGGATGACCGCTCTGGATGCGCGGACCGATCGTTTGTAATGTCTGTTTTCCTGGTAACCTCCTCTTTTGTCCGCCGCTAGTTGGTGTCCGCCCTGGTGCCCAATCCAGCCATGACCCTTTTTAATGAAAGGCGGCCTCGCCGCGCAATCCACCAGAAGCGCGACCACATCAATGACGAGCTGTTCGATATTTCCGCACGTCGACGCCAAGCTGCGCCCACCAGGGGGACAAATGAGGCTGATATTCCCTGCCCCAACATGGTTGACGCCCCCATCGGGGACACCACCATGGTCGCAGGACTGTGTATCTTGAGCGGTGCCGACGAGTTAGCGATTCCAGCTGGGCGAGTGCCCTGTCGGCTTCATTCGCATCGACCTCTCCCGCCGACCCCGGCGCCCCGTCGCCCGTCTCAGAATCAGTCGCGGTTCCGGCCTCGCCATCGCCTACAGAGGCATCGTCAGCATTGCCAACGGTCTCGAATAATGTTTGCGCGGAACCTGGCTGTGAACTTGAGCTGGGAGGTCGTCGTCCACGATGGTATTCGCATGGCGCGAACTTGGTCTTATCCCGCCCCCCCCCCCCTGCGGTCGCGGGGTTCGCGAGATGTCACGGGGGCCTTCTTCGCCCAATACGGCTCCAAGAGGGCCCCCGATGCCCGCGGGTGGCCCCCCTGGCTCAGGCTAGCCGACCGCGGCTCAAGACGGTTCCCGACGTGCCTCCGAGAGGCCAGGCGAGGGCCGACCACTTTTCCCAAGTGCTTTCGGGCCCCCCTTCAGCGCGCCCCCACGAAGCCCAAACCCGTCAAAGACAGAAGACAATCAGTGATGTTTGCCTTCTCTGACGCTCGCCTCCAGCGCGCCGTCGAAGCCTCAATGTGGCCCCGAGACGGCTCGGGGGAGGCTCCGAGAGGGCCGCTGGGAACGGTTTTGGCGGCCCCAGGGGGCAAGGCAATTCGCCCCCCCCCCCCCCCCCCCCTTTGATCAGCGGCCGCCAACATGTCCCGAGAAGCCCGCGAGCGCCCCCAACGGGCCCCATCAGGAGCTCCAAGAAAACTCCAGGGCCGCCCCGAGTTGTCCCGAGGGGGCCCCGACCACGAAGCGATTTTGACGGCTCTGTCCTCGTCCTCGCTGCCCCCCCCCCCCCTCCCCTCCTCGCCCAGAACTGCAGCGCGGGGCCCCGGGATGGAACGCGCCAGAACCAAAAACTGAACGGGCTGCGACTCCGGCTCGCCGGGTCGCGAAGCCAAGGAGGGGAGGGGGGGGGGGGGGCGCCCCCGCCTCGAGGGCGCCGATCGCCATCCGCTCCCAGGCGCCAGCCTTGCCCCAGATCGGCGCTCTTAGCCGAGCATTATGAACTTACCTCTCGCGCCAGTGGCCCCGCGCAACTAACGCCCCTTGCCATGGAGGCGACGCATGGAGGGGGGGGGGGGGGGGATGGCGAGGCGCGCGGGGGCCCCGGGGCGGCGGGGGGCCAACCGATTGACATTCTGAGCTCCGCCGATGGTCGAACGGAGACATCCAAGGCACTTGATGCCTTGATTGTCGTGCCCAACTTTACGGGGCGACGCCGCGGTCGCCATCCTCGCCTTATCAGTGCGCTCTTTGCCGCGCAGCCTCGCCTCTGCTGCGCCAGCAGCGCGCGGGCTGGGGCCGTGCAATTCAAGGGCCTTAGCTGCGATGTCGACAGCCGCCGCAACCAAATGCTACTGGACCATCCAAGCCAATTCGTCGACGCGCGCAACCTCGCAAATCGCGCGGCCAGGCAAATGGCGCCCCTGAACTCCGCGTTCCGCCGCCCTGGTGGCAGCGCCACTCGCTGGCCCCAACTGCAAGGCGGAGGCGTTGACGCGCCCGGGGGCGGGCGGCGACCAGCACTTGAGCTCGTGCATTAGTCGGCCCTAAACAACCCGCCCATCGCGCGAAAGCGTTGGCGCCGCGGGGAAGTTGAGCCCGCGGGGCATGCTCGCGGGCGGCCGCTGCGGCCGAGTCCAATGCCAACGCGATAATTCAAATAATGCTCCGCAAGTCCTGGATGGCGGCCTCGAGCTCGGCGCGGGGGGCCGACTGTTTGACCCCGGGGAGCGGCGCGCGCCCCCGCCCGAGCTGCTGCCCCCCCTGAATAATGGAAAACCCCCACCCGCACCTTCGCAGCTTGGCCTCAGACGCACGCGGCCCCCCGACCCGCGCGAATCGTCGACGGCGCTCCCCGCCGCCAGATCGACGGGCCCCTGACTGAAGCTGGAGGGGGGTAACTGGCGGGGACAAGACGCGTCTGCCCAGAGGATCCAATTGTACACCTGCGCTGCACTAGGCCCCCCCCCCCCCCCCCACCACCACCACCACCCCGCAGCGCGAGCGCACTGGGGGGTCCCGAGCAAGAAAGCCGAAATCCGCATGCATCTACATGTGTACATAGTTACATTTATACACAATCATATATGTGTGCACGTATGTGTTACTATGTATGTGAAGCATGATTACCATGCATCACCAGCAAAAAATACCATATGTGTCATGATATACCATCTGATATATGATGTGTACCGAAGTACATGTCAGCATATTCCCATCATACACGCAGCGCGAGACAAGAGAGAGAGAGAGAGATAGAGAGAGAGAGAAGTAGCAACACATAGAGAGAGAGAGAGAGAGAGAGAACGAAAGCGAGAGAGAGAGAGAGAGAGAGAGGGAGATAGCGAAACAAACATGAGAGATATCGAGAGATATATATGTAGAGAGAGAGAGAGAGAGAGAGAGAGAGAGAGAGAGAGAGAGAGAGAGAGAGAGAGAGAGAGAGAGAGAGAGAGAGAAATAAAGAAAGAGGGGGAGAGAGAGAGAGAGAGAGAGAGAGAGAGAGAGAGAGAGAGAGAGAAAGAGAGAGAGAGAGAGTGAAAAACAATTATCCTGGCGAAAGACCCAACCATAAGCAATTGTTGGTAACGCGTTGTGGGTGCCGCTTTCGGTGGGGCTCCATATGGGGCCACGAAGCGCTGCCTTGGATGGGGGAACCGCATGCGGACTGCGCCACCGGGGCGGGCCTTCGGTGGAGCTCCCTATGGGGCTACGAAACGCTGCCCTGGGTGGGGGAACCGCATGCGAACTGCGCCACTGGGGCCTTCGGTGGAGCTCCCTATGGTGCCACGAAACGCTGCCCTGGGTGGGGGAACGCATGCGAACTGCGCCACGGGGGCTTTCGGTGGAGCTCCCCATGGGGCCACGAAGCGCTGCCCTGGGTGGGGGAACCGCATGCGAACAGCCACTGGGGCCTTCGGTGGAGCTCCCTATGGGGCCACGAAACGCTGCCCTGGGTGGGGGAACCGCATGCGAACACCCCCACTGGGGCCTTCGGTGGAGCTCCCTATGGGGCCACGAAACGCTGCCCTGGGTGGGGGAACCGCATGCGAACACCCCCACTGGGGCCTTCGGTGGAGCTCCCTATGGGGCCACGAAACGCTGCCCTGGGTGGGGGAACCGCATGCGAACACCCCCACTGGGGCCTTCGGTGGAGCTCCCTATGGGGCTACGAAACGCTGCCCTGGGTGGGGGAACCGCATGCGAACACCCCCACTGGGGCCTTCGGTGGAGCTCCCTATGGGGCCACGAAACGCTGCCCTGGGTGGGGGAACCGCATGCGAACACCCCCACTGGGGCCTTCGGTGGAGCTCCCTATGGGGCTACGAAACGCTGCCCTGGGTGGGGGACCGCATGCGAACACCCCCACTGGGGCCTTCGGTGGAGCTCCCTATGGGGCCACGAAACGCTGCCCTGGGTGGGGAACCGCATGCGAACACCCCCACTGGGGCCTTCGGTGAGCTCCCTATGCCACGAAACCGCATGCGAACACCCCCACTGGGGCCTTCGGTGGAGCTCCCTATGGGGCTACGAAACGCTGCCCTGGGTGGGGGAACCGCATGCGAACACCCCCACTGGGGCCTTCGGTGGAGCTCCCTATGGGGCCACGAAACGCTGCCCTGGGTGGGGAACCGCATGCGAACACCCCCACTGGGGCCTTCGGTGGAGCTCCCTATGGGGCCACGAAACGCTGCCCTGGGTGGGGGAACCGCATGCGAACACCCCCACTGGGGCCTTCGGTGGAGCTCCCTATGGGGCTACGAAACGCTGCCCTGGGTGGGGGAACCGCATGCGAACACCCCCAGGGGCCTTCGGTGGAGCTCCCTATGGGGCCACGAAACGCTGCCCTGGGTGGGGGAACCGCATGCACCCCCACTGAACACCCCCACTGGGGCCTTCGGTGGAGCTCCCTATGGGGCTACGAAACGCTGCCCTGGGTGGGGGAACCGCATGCGAACACCCCCACTGGGGCCTTCGGTGGAGCTCCCTATGGGGCCACGAAACGCTGCCCTGGGTGGGGGAACCGCATGCGAACACCCCCACTGGGGCCTTCGGTGGAGCTCCCTATGGGGCTACGAAACGCTGCCCTGGGTGGGGGAACCGCATGCGAACACCCCCACTGGGGCCTTCGGTGGAGCTCCCTATGGGGCCACGAAACGCTGCCCTGGGTGGGGGAACCGCATGCGAACACCCCCACTGGGGCCTTCGGTGAGCTCCCTATGGGGCTACGAAACGCTGCCCTGGGTGGGGGAACCGCATGCGAACACCCCCACTGGGGCCTTCGGTGGAGCTCCCTATGGGGCCACGAAACGCTGCCCTGGGTGGGGGAACCGCATGCGAACACCCCCACTGGGGCCTTCGGTGGAGCTCCCTATGGGGCTACGAAACGCTGCCCTGGGTG